TCGTTTGGTGCAAACTGAAATCTATCAGTCAAGTTTGCAATGTGGCCACCATTCTAGGTGGCTTGCCATCATGCTGCACTCTGAAGTCTTGTTAGATGGTTGGCGGTAATCAGAAGGAAGCCTTGGGCATAGGATTCGTGTTTGCAGTACTGGTTGACTAGCGGTTCGAATCTCAAAATGGAAAACGAGTTCCTCCAAGATTATAGATACGCCTTGCTAACGAGTGCCGAGAAGGGCGAAACCTAGGTTCTTGCCTACTACCTTCAACCGTCTAACAGTACCTCTTTTCCTTTATCTTCTTCTTCTGAACAATTTTCACTTTGAAAATGTTACTAAAAATCCACAATTCAGAGTCTGAAAGTTATGGCGGAATTTTCCTCCTAGCTTGCACTTAAAAAAATAAAGCCTGCAATAACCATTTAGTTATCATTTTTCATGGAAGAAAAGAAAATGATAATGAGGACGTATTTTTACTGACTTGACTAGTCGTTTGGCATAAATTTTGTAAGGTTTGGTAAAACTCTTATAGACGGTTGATTTTCAATAAGTTGGTTGCTTCTGTCGATTTCATTAGAAGATTTACACTTGTATACCTTTCATCCCCTCACTTTCATCATCATTGCATTGATCAATCATTGATATGTAACCAATGCTGTGAGTCCCATTCTTAGTAATGGTGTAACTGAATGAATTCTGTCGGTCACAATTGCTATATGGTGACGAAAAACTAAGAGATCCTCAATCAGTGCGCGATTTAAATTTTTATTAGATGGTTAGTGACAATCAGTAGGAAGTCGTATCATGTTTGAATGTTAATCTTGATTAGGTTTGATTCTTGCTATAATACTACAACTGCTCATGTTGAAAAAACATAGATAAAAGAAACAGATTGCAAATTTTGTGCTGTAGCGGACAAAGTAGCAAAAAAAACTGCCGTCTATTTTATCTTTATCCTGAGTTCGAACCTCACTGGGTGCGAACCGATGAAGAGTCTCAAGCTACGGCAAGACAACTGTCCAGTACTCCCAAATTTTCTAGTGGTCTTCTAACCGACGTTATTTAATGATGAAATCCTCAGATCAATCAAATTCCTGCAAAACTAACGCTTGAATATTAAAGTGTATAATTAAGATATGAGGGAAGCCGACTGAAATCCCTTAAAAATGTCCTGGGGTCCAAAAGCAGATAAATCTTAGCTTTTCTAGACTAATCACCAGAATTCACGTGGTGACACCTTATTATTCTCAACAGAATGTAAATAAATTTGTCATTGACTGATAAAACTTATTAAAACGGAAATATGTATACCAGTGTTCAGTGTAACGTTTATTTAAAGTAGAAATAGTCTAAATGTTCACAAAATGATTTATTTATTGAAAATAATAAACTATTCGGTAATAATTAAGTGTGGTTGAAAAGTGCAATTGTTGTCTGGAATATTAACAAACAGAGAATAAACTGCACACAGATGTACACTTGTGTAATGATTCATGTGATGACATTTCAGTCATCAAATGCCCACATAATTTTATGCGCACTGAACAATACAATTTGTCAAGTATCATACAATGCTAGGATTGTAAAGTTGAAACAATGAGTTTCCTATGTTACAACATACCAAAAACAGAATTTTCACGGGTCATCTTGTAAATTAACAAGACATATAAGCGAACAATATTGTTTTCAATTAGATCTTCTTCAGGCCTTACTATAACTTACATAGATTTATAAAGCCTGAAGAAGATCTAATTGAAAACAATATTGTTCGCTTATATGTCTTGTTCTAATATTATAAATGGGAATATTTAAAGATTTGTAAATTAACAACACGTAAATCAGCAAAGAAGGCTCTTTTCTTAACATTTTATCAAAGCTATACAGGCATTTAGGAGTTTAGGTGTAGAATATTAATTGTCAACACGGGTTAGGCGTTACTGTCAGTTAGTAAAAGTAATAAATCAAAACATATGAGAAATAGTGATATGTGAAAAACTATGAATAAGCTAATGTAACTGAGAAAGTTGACAAGTGACTAATTAAATGATGAGTAATTGTTCTATGAAAACTGATAGGAACCATAAGCACAAAGAATTGAAAATGGATCACAAAAAATCACATGGAATTTATTATACGCGAAATCACGGAAAGTGAACTCAAACTCAGGTCACGGTAGTAAGTAGACTGGATTAAAGGTTTCTGAACACAAAGTTCTCGTTTTCCTATGTGGATGGTAAGAGTTTCAGCTGTTCAAGGAAGGTGTAAGCTATTTTTTTTGACCGGCTCTGTCTTACCTTATATGTGCCGCCTCTGGAAAAAAACTAATGACCAGTAAATTAAAACTTCTGACGATTTGCGATAAATAGTCTCACTGCCAGCCAATGTCACTGGTGAGTATTTGTCCTCACACGCTTTCTGGAGAACCCCACCGGTCGGGACTTCCCACCAGAACATCAAGAAATCCACCCTGTAGTAGTTTACTAGTGAGAACTGGATTAGTTTTCAAACTTGAAAGTTCAAGACTAGGACTGAAAAACTCTTCAGAACTTCCTCATTCTCACTGGTCCTCTGACTAATGTCCGTAGTGATAAAATCAAAACGGAAAGCGAAAAAAGGGGAAGATTACAAATGTCATGATCAAGAGCCTCCCAGCTGCAAACCTGTTGCCGTCATATCAATTATGATTCCTGCTGAATCAGAAAAAGTAAAGGTATTGACTCTGAAGACTTTCAGTTTTGCTTAACAGTCTGCACGTGTTCAAAGAAGGGAATATATTCTAGGAATAAATAAACCAAGAAATTTTAGTCCTAGGAGTTGGTGATCCAATTAGCCTTTTATGCCACCTTCATAAAGTGTCAACCTTCACAATATTTCAAGCCACAGTGGTGAAACAAACATGATACATTCTGTGTTTACTGTAGTACACCAGCTTCTTGTAACAATAATTATCCCAAGTTTTACTTATGTAATTGACTTCTTGGTTTTTACTTCATTTTACCCATAATTATCTCATTATAACTAAAAGTGATTTTACAAAATGGCTTATATTATTCTCTGTTATTGCTATTGCTCGTCTCACTTTAGTACACATAACTTTCTACTTAAGTGTGCTACTGATTTACGACAGATTCACCCACCTAGTGTCAATGTCATGACATTTACCAGTATATCTTCGAATGTCTGACGGGTGTTATAATTTGATTATTTTGTTATGTGATATTTACCACAAATATACGAAATGCTTGCCACATGAGTTTTCATTTACACAGACTGATTCGCAGTTTCTTCATTCAATCTCTCAACATGTTACGGAGTAATACAGTAGGATTTCTGGTAACACGAAGAGCTATCCTTTGATACACTAATATCTTTGAAGGATTAGATAAGGTGAAAAAGTTGAATACTGGAACGCCATTGCAAATTCAATATTAATTTGTTCATCAGATATATCACACAGTGAAACAGTATTATTTACTGGATGGCAATGTTTCGAACACAATGTATTGTTCATAATCATATCAATTATAATCACACCACTTGGAAACTTGAGTTTTATAGTTAATTTTCTTTATTCTTTCCCCTATTCGTCGTCGTAGGAGTAGTAGAATTTTCCAGATATCAGTTGATTCGATACATAAAGCTTCCGTTATCAGTCTTCCCATTCGCCACCCCATTACATTAGATTTTAGAACTGTCATCTTATCCCATCCTATTGTATGGTTATTTGTTATTGCATGTAGTGCCATAGCTGAACTATTTTCTAAAAAAAATCTTAACAGGGTCAACTAATATAGATTTTACCAGGTTTTTATGCAAAACCTAATGTAACAGGGTGGAGAGAGAGATTGATAACGGAAGCTTTATGTACCGAATCAACTACAAACACGTGTAATAGGAATGATTCAACACCTGTCCACCCTGACATCTGAAAATTCTACTACTCCTACGACGACGAATAGGGGAAAGAATAAAGAAAATTAACTATAAAACTCAAGTTTCCAAGTGGTGTGATTATAATTGATATGATTATGAACAATACATTGTGTTCGAAACATTGCCATCCAGTAAATAATACTGTTTCACTGTGTGATATATCTGATGAACAAATTAATGTGGAATAACATACTACTGCAGTGCCCAAGTCTCACACATGTATCAACTACAAGTTGATTTGCAATGTATGCAGTTGCAGTTGAAAATTCACTACAGTTTCTCTTGGAAAGCGAAATTAATTAGATCACGGTATGTTTTGTACTTAATACCACAAATGCTTATCAAGAAAACAAGAATAAATGCATGGGGCTATATACTACTGACTGATTGAAATGAGTAGTCGTATACCACTCACATCGATCAGTAGTGAACACTGAAAGTTTGAAACTTCAGGTTTACATCAGATGGAAGATTTTAAAACAAGCGAGAGCTTAAGTTTCATAATCCAACCGCCTGTTTCACCACAATTTCATTATCTCTTGGTTTAAATATCTTAAGCATTTAACCAACTCAATTCATTTGTAAATTGAGTAATGTAAACTGCATATCTTGTCAATTGTTTTTTAATAATTTCACTTCCATGGAAGAAGGTAAAACAAACCGGTATGCTATTTTGAGAAATGAATCCCACTAGACTTGTTATATCAGACTAATTGTTTTGATTTGTCACTGAATAGGAACCATTGTCATCTGTCTAGCCACTCGCGGTGCTGGCCGAATTCTATCATTCAACTTTCAGTTTTGGTCACCAGCCCAAGAGACTCCCTATCTCAGAATCCTTTTTGAATTGATGGTGGATGATTTGGCTGCTTTTATCTCTAGTGTTTATAAATTAATTGAAAAACTACTTAATTCTTAATAAACCTCAGTTAAGACTTTATACAGTCTTTGTTTATCATTACACTTTTCATGTGAAAAAATTAGTGGTCAGAATACTGACATGTGACTGACCATTACTGCATATATATATATATATATATATATATATATATATATATAAAGTGAAAACTGATACAGTGGCACAAACCATAATCATGAAAATAATTTTAGACGCATTTACATTTCTAAGCTTTATCATCTCAGAGATAATTCTAATGTTTTCTGAGGTAAGTTATTTTATGTTCATAAAGTTTTGATATCTGTTAATCCACTTTCCCTATTTGAAAGTTCACAAATAGATTCATTATGAATTAGAGGCATCTGTATTGATTAGTTTACAGCACGACATGTAGCATCAGAACTGAGGTTTATTGTAGTTGGCATTCATCAGGATGGAGGTGATGAAGATAACCAACCATCCAACAGTGACAATAACAACAACCAACACCAATCACCATCAACAGGAAGGATTTGACAGAGACTACTGCCTTCAATTAGCCGGCTAGGAAGCACGACTTCAACCACAGACAGTCGGAACCGATGAAAATGTCTAAGTCAGCCAGTTAACCCGCCAGCCAGCTAGCCAGAATCGAAAAGGCAAGCAAGATACACCTCCATCACTCTGAAATCAGTCTCGAAATATTCCGCTTCACTCAGTCAGCATTAGGAGGAAGATTCGGATTCTATTCAACACCATTTTGAAATCAGTCAGTTCTTCTATACGGATGAGAAACTTGCACTGTGTATGACGAAAGCGGTTTCCAATAGGCCAGTGCAGAATTTTATCAACAGCTGTCTTCGCTGGCTCTATATTGAAGATCGAATGGCAGGTGAGAAAGAATTAGTAACGAGAAACAATGTGAAAAAAGCAGGCAGGAACCTATCGATCAACAAATATGCAGGAGAAAATGGAGGTGGATTGCTCACACGCCACTGGGGAGACTGTCGAATGACATCGCGCCCCAGGCCATTACTCGAGTGGAATCTCAGTGGGAAACAACGAGTTAGTCGTCAGTGCGACGATGACATGGAGGAGATCGTGTGTTTGGGAAGAGGTGATGAGAGATTATGGTCAATTGTGGACGCAGCTAAAGAGGTCAGCAGAGAGTAGGAAAAAGTGGTAAAGTGCTTTCGCAGGCCAATGTTTTACTTAGAACCCAAGGGAACAGTAATAATAATACTCAGGATCCGCAACCTGGCAAGTAAACTCATTTTGTCGTGAACTACTTAGTTTTGGATAAAGTACATATATCAGACTAATTATTTGTTTTATCTATTATCAAACTGCCGACATTGTTCCACTAATTAAGTCACATGTATCATCTTTTATGAACTAAATAGCTTTGAAAGAATATTGCTGATTTAATACTGGAATATACATTGTAAGAGGCTCATTAAGAGGTAGAGCGGTGGAAGAACGGCAGAATGCTTGCCACCCACGCGTGTGATCCTGGGATCAATCCCAAGCCGATGAACTCCTTAGCCTCATTTAGCTGGTCGTAAGCCTGTTAAAAAGGCAAGACTGAGTGTCAGGCTAGAGCAATACCACACAATAAAAGTAAAACAACTGTTACTGAAACTTCCAAGTTCAATACCGAAGGCTCATTTTCTTTTGCGAATGAAAAGGAATAAAATAAATTACCGTTAAAAGGGTTTAGGTTTCTGAGATTGTTATGTTCTGCAAGTATTGTCATCTTGATATTATAAACATGCTTGACATGTGACTTTTGGCTAAAAAAAACTATGCTTTCGTCATTTGTACTGATCGATACATGTATATACAGCGAACTCTGAAGTCTTCCTTATGTGTAATTTCTGAATCTTCATTGATTTCCAACTTTTTTTATTTCTCATTCTTAAGTATTTGCTTATGTAACACTAATAAGGTGCCTTTTTTTACGCACAATATGAGTTAGACTGACAAGCAAAGCTACTTCAGTCATGTGTGAGTCACAATATGTCTATCTCAAGGCATTCTCTATGAAACTTGGCATTACCATTGACTTGTTGACTAGATGATATGTATTTTTTCAGGATTTTCAAATCTTTATTTAAATCAAAAGACTGAACTTGTTGAAATTATTATTATGGATATTCCGTTGATTGGATTCCTCAGTTAGCCAGTGTAAACCGAGTAACAAAAGGTTGAACACTTACTTAATTTATGAATAAAGTGTGAAATAAAGCAAAAATCTAACAAATATTACGTCGGTTATTTGGTGAATGATGGAAGACAACAGGATGCCATCGAACTCAATTTTTCGAAGAAATTCAGTTCCCCCCAGTCGTTCGAATCTGCATCACTCAGTGCTGAAGTTAGAGATATATTACCGCCTTTTGAACCTGTGTTGAGAATATGTTCTGTGGATACGTGTCTGATTGTAGCCCCAGGCTAAAATAACGTACATGAGATTGGTTCCTTAGGGGTTGTAGATACATCTTACTGGAGAGTGCCAGTAAGCAAAAAGACTTGTTCTACGGCTTCTTATTGATTGTCCCCATTATTTACTTATTTTATGTTTTCCTACGTCTGTTGAATGGAACATAGAGCCTCAAGCCTGAGATTTGAATTCTCAGCAGCAGTGTTGTTTTTTATTGGGTGAAGTTATTAACCATACACCCAACCTACCCTCCTTACAGTACGTACTACCAGCCAGGCGACTCTGAGAAGTACATCAACTGAAGACTATGTGCATGACTGGTGAGTATTCTAACACTCAACCACCGACTTACTGTCCCCAACTATCTAAAAATTATTCAAAGTATACGGTGATGACGAATGTATATGCATGGCCATCACACTGACCACATGACTGATAGAATTCAGTTACTACTACTAAAGACTACTTACATCACACTGATTAATTCCTAACGACCAGTCATTGTGATCTTCATGTCTATGAAATGGACTTTCCAACATCGGTGTACTCTGTTATATTGGAGAATTTTCTTATGCAACTTAACTTTGGAATAGTTAAACGTTGGCTACTAATATCACCTTCATTTGAACGACATTGATGAACAAAAGAAAGTCCTTGAATTCGGTTAGTTAATGAGATCGTATTTGCATTTTATTTTAAGTAATAATAATAGTAGTTGGATTTGTTCCCTTGATATGATCAAATAGTAATTTCTTATTCCTTATTGTTTTTAATTTTTTCCATGCAGACACAAGATAAACAAGAGTAAGTAAAAATTTTAATCAGGGTGTGACTACCAATCATCCCATATGGAAGGAGGATCATTTATTTTGTTGACATTTGCCTATAATTAAAATGGGTTCGATTGATTTGGTTCATTGAATTTAACAGTGAAGAATTAGAAGGATGAGTAAATAATGTCCATTGCCTAGGGTAGGTAATTCTCGAGACTTAGTGACCTGTATGTAGAGGATTTCTAATTTGAGACGAACTGTGTTTGCTTCTTAATCTCAGTAAGACTTTAATCAGTCAGTGGGATGAAGGAATTTAAGTCAGTCGCCCAACAGATTCCACTGTTTGGAATCAAAAAATGAATGATTAGAAAGAGAAGAGCAAGTAGTTCAACAAGGGTTTTTTTTGATGAGTTCATCTACATAGCTATACAGTAATCTTTGTGTGCAAGTTTTATTAGGAATTTACAATACTGTAACCGACATAGTTAGTTAGGTGTGGCAACAAAGACAAAATTCAAGATATCATTCTCACCACCAATGAATCAAAATGTGTATAATACAGACTAATTAAAACGTAACAGAGAATGTATGAAAATTAGTTTGAATAAAGCAAGAACAACAGTTTTTTGCAGAATAAAGTGGTACCATCATTTATTTCGTTGGCTTCTCATCAGCTGCTTACAGGCCAAAGTCATTATCGAAAATATATCTACAGAAACAATTTTAACATACTTGCACAAAGTCCATTTTGAATAAAAATCAGTCAATCAATATATATGAAAATTAGTAGGTTTGCAGCAATAGTTTGAGCTTGATAGAATCCAGTCTTTACCAAATGAAGGATTACATGCATAAAATAAGTCACCACCTATTGTTCAAGCAAAGTATGCATTACAGTACTACAGGGAGTCAACAGCGAGCCTGAATAGCTCAATGGTAACGTCTCTAACTGCAGTGCTGGGTGATGTGAGTTTGAGTCTCAGAAAGGACGTGACTTCCATCAAGAATGCAGATACTCCTTGCTGACGAGTGCCAAGAAGCACGAAACCTAGGCCTAAGGCTTCTTGACGATTGCCTCCAACCATCTAATAACAACAGTTCTACGTGCACCATGATGGTTAACCGCCTATAATGGTGGTCATATTGCAGACCTGACTGAACAGAATTCAGTCTGCACCAAACGTAGGACTAGGCTCATGACATTACTTATTACTTAACTTCCAATCAAATTAATAGTAAATCGTTTGCAAATTGAGATGTAATCAGTAAAAGCAAGAATAAAGATAATTTGGTATCACGTAACTAAAATGAAATTAAGGTTAACAATCATGGATTGGTCAGAATGGCTAAGAAAACAATGGAAAAGAAACGAAAATCGAATGTGGGAATTAAAACCAAAAGCAGAAATGACTGAATTAGTTTCTTCTGTGCCCATAGTATCAGCTTTCCTATATGGATGTCTAGCACTTCAGCGATGTAAACAGAATGGAAATGCCTATAATTTTTGCTAAGCTTCTCTAGGAATTGACTCTGGTGGAAGTGTGTCATTTAACTGGGTGACGGATATTGAGAATATGATCACTCATCTCCCCTCTAATTGATCCACTGTTTCCACTATACAATAATGGCGGGTGATATTTATCAACCCTTTTTGACAAAAGAGGCTTCTAATGACCTAATGAGAAAGACAAAAGCGAATTAATCAAAACATAACTTGATAATGATTCAAAGAAGATGAAAAGATGATCATTGATTAAATGAGAACCTCTACGAAGAAATTAAAACAATGGTTTAGATAGTAACATGGTTATACCATCTACCCAAACAACAAACCTAGTCTACCGGTTCAACCACATCTGGACAAGTTTGGATCTTGTGAGGCACTGGTTGAGCTGTTGATATATTTCACTACGCCAAGCCTACTAAACGCAACGTACCCAATTACCTGCCTAATCACTACACTACTTAACCTACAGGTACTGATAACAAAAGAATATTTTTTAAATCATTTATTAAGAAATATTCTATGATAAGCAATATATTTAGACAATTTAAAACTTTAAGTTTATTTGGGGAGAAGATTGTAGGACTTATCTGACTGGTATGGCTGAACTACGGACTCTGTGGATAAGTGTGTCACCAGTACAAGAGAGAAGCGCGAGATTGAGTTTGAGCTCAGTCTCATGTGTTTCCGTAAAAAGAAAACTTAAAACACCTAAAGTAAAACACCTAATTAATTAATTAATTTTAGTCCTAGGCTTATTTTGATGTCCTGGAAGGTGAACTACAGTCTCCTCATCACCGGATTTCAAAATGGCCAGCGAATTTATTTCAGCCTGTAAGAAAAACTTCCCTGGACGTTTTGTCTCTCGATGTCAGTATTATTACTAATCTAGTCTACAGAAATCAGGTTTGGATAACCTACATACGTGCAAACTTCATGATTATGTATTCATCAATTTATAGATTTAGAGAAACAGTAATTTCTCTTCGCTCAAATATGTGGATTTACAAATGAAAAGCAAAATGTAAGAAGTGATCCCTAGACAATGTATAAGTTCTCAGTCTATAGGAAATCAAAATAAATTTTGTATTTACTGACCGAAGAAAACAACTTCGGTGTGAAGGACAACAGATACTTTTTGTTTTTTAAACCATCATGAAGTAATTAAGTCTTTTTGAAGAAATATGCAGTTGAGTACCTGCCCAGTATTGTTTCAGGTTATTATTCATTCGTTCACCTCTACATTACGTGAATTCAGAAGGAATTCTTTATGAACCTACAATTCTGACAGATCATGAGTTCTCCGCTGAAAAATATGCATCTGAAATAAGAAATGCTAAGAAGGATGAAGGTAATTTAAATTTTTTCCTGTTTCATTTACACCTTAGTATTTGATTTATATGTAAAATCTTTTTTTGGTTTCTAAATTCGTTCTCGTACTCAAATAGGGATACGTTGTATTGACGCAAGACTGATAAACTAGTAATGTTCGAAGGTTATTTTAGTGTTACGTTTAAGCGTATAATCATACAGATACATTTCCTACTGAATTGTGACCTAATATTAATGGATTGGCATGCATCTCTGCAGCATAAAACTCTTGTACGGTTTGACCGTAATGATTCAGTGTTTAAAAACCTTTGATGCTGTTAATAACATTTATTTCTCGGCTATTTTGGATAAAGGATTGTAGGAGTTTAAGAAGAAGCTAGTAGAAAAAATAACCTTTGTTCAGTCATTAGCGTTTTAATTCATTTTCCTGAAATCAGAAGTGAATAATAACTTAGCTGATGTGAAGTACCTGCAAAAGATTTCGATATATAAGACGGTATTATTCATAAATTATTACTGAATATAATATAAAACCAAAAAACTTGATATGAATAGGAATGGTTTAGCAACCTAAGGATAAAAATTTAACTGGATTTTAGACTGACATTGTACCATTGTAACAACAGAAAACAAGGGCCACGCAACAGATCGTTTATTGAGAAAATGAAGAGATATTTATGTATTTTTATGTACATTATTATTCGTTACTGTTAGCAGAGAAGCAACGTCTTCTGATTGGTTGTTTTCCTGCTGAAGGTTATTCTGTCAACTCTTTGTTGCCGTTTCTTAGACAGTCTGGTGATATATCTGCGAATCGTATCCGCCCACACTAAGTCTGCTGTGACTGGTTGTTGAACTCCTCATGATCCTGATTAGGGATGTAAAAACTGACGTCAATTGTTGTCTACTATTTTGTCTTGCAGGCAGCTCTCATCACACCCTTAATAATATAGATTTCAGCGCTTCAAATAAACATTCTTTGAGAAGGAAGAATTGGAATTCGGTAAAATTTCTTGGCATCGCCATGTGACAGTTTCTGTTTCTTCATCCCGTGGAAGTAACTGAAGTAGAAGTTACTGAGACAGTATTCACATAGAATCATTCTTTCCGTTTCAAGTTTCTTCTACTTTTGTGTAATTTTATTTGAGTGAATTGCGTGATCTGACTGAATGAACCTTCTGTCAACATATCTTTTCTCAGGAATTGTATCAGAAGAAATCAGGAAGGACAAAACAGCCTAGCTATTCAACTATGAATCTTTCTAAACGTTTCCTCTTATGAGACAATCAAACTGAAATTCGGATATCTAGTCGGAATTCGATGATTCACCATATAGAGTCACCATCATCCGCTTTCATCAGCAAGTGAATAACTTACAAGTATTTACATTTGAATTGTTGAACCCAGAGGTTTAGAATTACTAATTTGGAGTTCACAAATTAACACTCTTCGAAAAACACAACACTGAATTCTGAGCTATTAGTTTGCCTTGAAACTTGACCATTTCTAGTCTCATTCATTTTATATGAGGGCATGAATCCTCTCTGCTGGAGAGCTCCCAGAATTTATGTGAAGTTTATTTCTCTTTTCACTAATTTTCTGGCTAGATTCACTTAGTGTCTCCTTTAATACCTAAAGCCAAATAAAACTTCATTTCGACAGAGAAAGAAAGACCAAATTTGCAGCAACATTTTATGTACATAATCAGTTTTATTCATTATAACAACTCCAGAGCCGTTATCGGGTCTAAACATGACGATGTCATCATTTTCACTTAGTCTCCTTAGTGCTCCTCTATGCTCCTCAGTAAGCATTTCCCGTTTTTCTGATGGTGATGTGTGGTATTGGTTGGCTATATCAACCAATTTGGACTTTAGCCTTCCTCTTTTGTCTTCGTCCACAGGATGCAGGTCAGGAAGTTGATGGTATAAGTATTCAAACTGCGTTTTTTTATCTATACGGTTTACGTGCTTCTTGGGGACGTGAAACTTGAATCTCAAAGATAAGGCTTCTAATTCAGTTTTGCTTAGTTGTAAATTTGACAGATTACACACATAACGTTAAGGTGCTTCTGGGAAGTGTCCAGTTAACTTTTCCTTGAATAATGCTATTGTCAGTTGATTTTCATAGTCTTTTGCAGTTCTGGATTGCAATTCTTTGATGAAGTTCGTGAATTTGAGCCAGCAAGTAATATTTAGCTCATTTATTAAGGTATCATAAGTAGCCAGATGAGACTTCAGATTAGAAAAATATTTGTATGAGAATTCAATATGAGACTTTGTTATCCGACGATCTGGTCTTTCTTTCTCTATCGAAATTTATCAAGGGAACCAGTTGTATGAAATTTTTGAAAAAACTTCATTTCACTGTTAACCAGAAGTGCTTTGCATTTACAAATGGCTGTCATTTAAATTCAAAAAATTACTCTGAACATTACACGTGCATCATTTTGTATTCGGTAAAGAGTGATAACATCCAAATGGTTATACTGAACTCAATTTCAGTAATCAGCACTATTGAAGTTGCTACTTGCATACAACTTCATTCTTATCAACTTATCGTAAATGAAATTTCACTAACGTTAATAAAGACCTGTTTCTTAATTATACAGCATCGTTGTGTGTATCCCTAAAATGATGCGAATGAACTTTTGGCAAATTGAATGCTATTACTATAGGTATCAAGACCTTCTAGTTTGAAGCATCTACTTCTATGATGGTATCAAAGAATTCCTCATTAAGCACTTCGAGTAACAGCCGGTTTCCTATAAGAATACTAAAGTTATTCCGAATGGCTACTAAAGGTTAACTAGTAGGACCAAAAGGTCTTATCGAAGTCATTTGAGCAACATGTAACAAAACACTACAGTGCAGCATACTCGTTGTTAAATCACCCCATGGACAGATCCATGCATCAGACAACAAATAAACTTAGAGCAATGATTACACTGTACACTCAACTGGTGGACACCGTTGTAAGCAGCTAGTCTAAATATCATTCAACGATGAATTTGTACACAAAATCCAGCCGTACATATCGAGTATCAAGGCAGTCAATCTTTATCAAGCTAAATACTTAATAATTCACATTTATTGATTTTCAGACAAAAAAATTAAGGTTTTAATGCAGACTTTAACAAGCAGAACAAACCGGGAACGTCAAAAAATTATGGAAGTTTACCTTAGTAAATTCAAAAAGGTATGTTGGTCTATCACGAGTTGTTTTTTTCTTTTAAACTTTTCTACAAGATATACGTATACACACGATGCTTGTTTGTTGCTAGTTGCTCGGATCTTCATGAATAAATTCACTGCATTGCAGTATTTTTACACTTACCGTTATTCATCTGATCACCTTTGAAGTGAAATGACCTTTAAAATGTTATTCAGTATTATTTATTATTTGTTAAAGTTTGAAATAGTTAAGTCGACACTAGATTAAAAGCAACCGTAAGTGAAATCATCTCCGATAAAAATTAAACTCTACCCTCTCAGGAGACGCGGGCAGTATAATCGTTCAACTGAAATCAAAAGCATTAAAATGACTGGAGAATTTCCTTCGGTTGTTCTAGTCAGGTGCACTAATATAATAGAGGGCAATCGGGAGTATTAGAAGTCCTTTAAAGGGGTTACGAAGCTTTGCCATTTAAAGCGGCAGGGATAACTATTACACTTGCAGTGGTGCAGCCTTCCACGGCAAGCAAGGTTAACCACTGGTTAAGTTGAATTGAGAGGATGAAAGTTGTCTAGCCGAGGTCGTCAAAGTGCTAAGAATCGAGTGTTAGTGACTCTTCCTGACATGATAGATGTCTTTATGCCTTGTCCATATTTTCAAATACTTCAGTAGTCTCTTTCATAAATGTCTGTCTGCTGGGGTTTCATAACATCTTTTCCTAGTTTCCTGCATAGCGACCCCAAATGATGCACATTTGCACTGAGTTCTTTTTTATCAAATCAATCAGTCGACTAAAGTTACATCACGATATCAAAACTGTTGAATTTTCCATTATATTAAAAGAGTATTATCAATAGAAATTGATTATCAAGATGTGCTGGGAAGAGCAACGTTAATTACACTGTCGTGGTTCGCTCAGAGTATTCATGTATGTGATCTAAAAGAAGAAGGTTTACTTCTTAGGTATAAATACTACACCACTCGTAAAATACAAAAATTTTGGGTTTTCGTCTTCTACTACAGCTTTTTGTAAGAAATCTTGTCAACAGTCGAATAAATGCCTTGGAATGCAAACTCAAAGTAGAAAGTTAAGTAAATGTTTAACTAAAAAGAACAGGTAGTTGGACCGCTTATTTCAGTCCATGGAAAATCTGGATGGTAAGCTGGCCCCATAAAGTTTGAATCCTGTTGAGATTTAAGCTTCTGTCTCAATTTTAATCGTCATCAGTCTACTAGTTAAAGACTAAGACAGACGTTTTCAACTACACATAAACAATATCAAGTAACGTAAGACCTTTTCATTCCATAATAATTGAATATGAATTGAAAACAGTGTGTTTTACAAAGCTTACAATTTAAAAGCTCTAATACTATACATAATCACTGACATACTATGCATATGGATGAAAATTTTCCTTGACAATATACGCTTTATACATGGTTTAGAAATGTAATGATTATTACTATTATATGAGCTAACTTTAAGCATCTATACCTAAAGTCCATTTATCCGTTTACTGTTCCAGTCATTAGCTGATGAAATTATCAACGTTAATCCTGAACAATTAAAGTTACTTTTGAAAGATCTTTTAACAAATCTACCCATTCTGATTGCTGATGAACTCTTTGAAGCATTATCTTCAGGTGATTTGAAGGCATTAACAAGACATTTAATTGATTTTTGGGGCAATGAATTTAGTTATGTTGAAAAAAGTTACAAAACAAGTGAGTGATATTTGATGATTTTTGTATAGTACTATAAACAGAAAAAAATTGTATTATATATTCTTCTTTGCTATTTCATGATAATTTATTTGAAATTTCCTAATGGGTGAACTTAAAAGATCTATAGATGGTTGTCACTGGAAGAGAAACGAGTAATAACGGAGGTTAGTAATACAATACGCAAACAAAAAACTCAGTAGCATCCAATATTATACTTGAAATACACCTGGGGTCTTCATTGAGATAGTCGTTCGAATTCCTTCCTCCCTCCCTCTCTCTCTCTCTTATAATATTAACATCAAACTTACTAAACTAGAAATTTTAATGTTTCTTTGTTTCACTAAGGATACATCTGTCTTGCGGACACTTTGACGTCACATTAGACAACATCATCAAGACAACCTAACTGTAAACTACTATTTGTAGCACAGTTGCAACCTGGATAAAATCTACTCGGTTTTTTTCGTTGATGTTAAAATCTCTTAGAAAGAGTACACCTTTGTGATTGCTTGGAATATGTATGCTCAAATAATGTACTCTGAGTTTACCATGTCGTGAATTGATTTATTAAACCTATTTGAATGATTGATTAAGTGCTGTGCTCACACTGTCCAGCAATAAGTTGTTTTAAAAGGCAACAAATTTTGTCAGGCTGGATGAAACTTTACTAAAGCGTCAGTTTTCCTTCATAATTTTGAAAATTACAGATATAAATTACAACTTATTGATTTAGAAACTATACACAAGTGAAATACTATGCTACACAGGAGGAAATAATTATCATCTGAAATTCCTTAAGTGTTTTACAGTCTGGAAGTAATATCAATAGGATTGTTCCACGCTGATGATATCTTTGCGTGGTATCATGCGCCAGGTATAGCTTTGAATGTGACTCGAGTAGGAAACTACGAGTTAGACGCCGCTTCGATAATAACCTGGAGGAGATCATATGAAGAGGAGGTAAAAGCTTGTGGGCAATCATGGAGCCTGCTAAAAAGAAATGTATAGAACAAAAAAATACGAATAACTTATGTCACACTGATACATCCATCTATTGAAATATTTAGTGTAACTTCCAATAACAGTTTATTACATCTAATTTCATCGATGGTGACTAGCAGTGGAATCCAGGATAATCATTCAGTCCTATTTGGGACTCGTCAACTGGATGCAGTTACATTTAGTAGTGAGTGGTGGTGCTGTTGTTGCGACTTGAACCCAGTACCCATTGTTTCGAACAAGAAAGCGTTATCCAATAGACTATTTGAGGCACGTAACAAGAGAAGCTGATTATTTTGGTCTAGTCATTCAACGGAGAAATCAGAATTGACTTAAATATATGATAACCGATACTCGTTTCATAAGAGTTGGCTGTCATGGACCAAATGGTTTGTTGGACAGCGCTGTGGCATTTGAAATGACGGTTACTGGGTTCGAGTCTCGGTGGGAATTTCACCACTTACCGGTGAATGCAGGTACATCCAGGTGATGAGTCCTAAACAGGGCATTCCAGATTCCACTGCCAATCGCCATCCACGAAATCACTTCATGTTAAGCCTCAGATATCTTTGCAGCCTCCGAACTAGTAGTCACCACTTCAACTGAGGCCGAAGATATCTGTCCAACCAACCAACCAACGGGAAAATCTCCATCATGACTTAATTTAATAATTTATTGAACATAATTTGCAGGTTTTTTATTTTCTGTGACAGATTACAAAGAATCATTTTGGAAAAGAGCGGAAAACAAATTTGGAAATTCTGTAAGAAATCTTCTAGAGTGTGTAGTTGACACTAGACGCAATGAAGTGAAACAAGACTCGCCAATTAAAGGAAGAGGCGGCAAACCAATGGTTGTCTATGCATCAACTGTCAAAGTTTTCAATCAACTGAAAGGCATTATAAATCAACAGTAGGTTAATGAGGAATTATTTTAAATTTATTTAAAGATGGTCATTAAAAGCTATAGCTGCGAATAAATCTAATTTTCAAAAAGATTGAAAACACTAAGAAAGAATATTCAAATTAGAACTTTACAGGAAACTATATCAGTTAAAGTTGTCATACTCTGACACAATAAAGATAAATAAAATGAATGCAATGAGAATGAAAATAATAAAAATAAAATAAAAGTAGACAAAATGAAGGCCTGTTAAAGTTTTCAGAACACTGACAACGTTGAATGAATACACCTATCTCTATTTGTAGTATTTATCAACTAGACAGTATACACCCATAGCTATTGCTTTTTATTATTTCAAAAGCACTATGACAAAATGGTGACTTTTGTAGAATAATGAACACTAGACTTCAAACTTCTTTCAATGTGTGACGACATTAGAATGTCAAAAGGATAAAGATAGGAAATTAAATCGTGAAAGGAGATTACGACTGAATGGTATACAGTGTGGTGAGAGCTCTCTGCCAGCCAAAATTGGTAGGCAGCAATTTACGTCAATGTTTACGTCCCAAATCTTAGTCATGAGAAAAAAACAACAACAAAGACTAACTCAACAACCAGTAACAGCAGACTTTGCGTGGGCGGATACGATTCGCAGGTATATGGTCTGACCTTCAAAGAAACAGCCACAGAGATGACAGATTAACTATCAGCGAGTAAACAACCAGTCAGAAGACGCTGTACATACAAAAATATAAATATCTATTGATTTCCTCAATAAACGATCTGTTGCCTGGCCATTGTCTTCTATCGTTACAACAGTAGTTCCAAAATAATATGGTTTTAGTTACCACATAAAAGCATTCAGAGTTATTATTATGCAACAGAAACAGAACTTTTAGTGTTTATTTTCTGCTTTCTCGGTAAAGTGGATGAAACATTCTATTTTATGTAAATTGTGAGCTTGATTCTAAACGTTTTCACATATGGCAGTACATAACTATTGACTGTATCACTAAAGGCAGTATCAATGTTTCCGAAGTGGTTTCAGTAGATTTATGCAGACTACCAATCATCTCTGCTCAAAAAAGTGTGAAATGTGTTCCTGTGACAACCACAACGGATTATTCTGACTAATTTAAGGGTTTGATACACCAGGTTTTATATTTATTCAGAAGATTAAATGGAACTTGAGAAGAAACGTACTGGGGAGGAGTACATGTATCCGTAGTTCGATGGTAGAATGCCTGACAATCATACATGCTGTCTGAGGTGAGACTCCCGACCGACGAACTACTCAGCCTCATCCAGTTCACTATCCGACAGTAAGCCAGGAAAAGAGGGAAAGTTGAGCTTGAGGCCGTCAAACTCACTCCGTAAAAAAGCAACGCCAACGTTATTGAAATTTCAAAGCTTAAAGCCTCATCTTCCACTCAGAACTCAAACGACTGAAAAATAGAGGATCAGATTGATTTCAAACCTGATCAATGGCATTCTGAATGTTATTGATAAATAATACTAAATATTTAATATTTTGAATGTTACCAGTGATGTTACCAGTGTTACTTATCTAACTGCATTCCGTAATACTGTCTTCTACTGTGAAACAATAATTTAAATCCAAAAAGTAGTGAAACAGGACATTACACCATCTTTGACGAGATGTGAGTTTGTGCAAATATTAATTAATTAAGCTCTATCCTCCTTTTTCTTACGGAAGTGTTTGCAGTACAACATCCTTTATTTCTTCCGTATTCTCTTTTCTCCCATTTTCTTACTGTAGAAACGATGATGCAGGACAACAGTTAAGTCAACTTTTCTGTCATACTGATCCATTTCAACTTGAGTTGGTTGCCAAACTGTACAATGAGGTTAGCTTATTTGGTGTGATACAAAGATTTTATTGTATACTAAGACATTAATATGTAGATAAGTTATATTGTTCTGTTAGTGTTATATAATTGAAAGATATCAAAATACCACTGGATTATTTGAATTACAAATGAGGACTGTCTGCCGCTTGCTTGTAACCACCTTACATTGATTCAAAATGTATGGCTATGGTAAAGTATTTTAATGACCACATTTCAAACTTTCCTGTTTGGATTTAATCATTACCAACGACAATAATAACTGGACACATGATATTGGCTACTGTCTAGTGACCAATCAGTGTATCTATCATCATCCTACAGTAGGTCAACAGTCAGCCCAAATAGCTCAGTAGTAGCCTCTCTGACTGCAGAACTTTGTGACTGGGATTTGAAATTCCTGAAGTGGCAGATACGCCTTGATGAAGATTTAACCTATACGATATTGTCTAAACTGTTGTTGAACTCTATAGATGGTATTTATAACTCGCGAAAATGATCCAGAAGAAGTAAGTGTACAAAAAGGTTTCTGTTAGCCGTTAAAAACAGAATATTTAACACAAACATTACCGGAAATCACCTTCAAAAATAAAACGTGAACTTCATGTCTATGGGAATACCATTCAAGACATACATGAAAGGCTTCATTTTCCCTACGCCAGAGTGACGGTGAAGCATTCACAATTTCAGTATGCAGTACAAAGAGCTTTTTTATTCCTTTACGTTCTCAGTGGAATATAGAACTTCAAGCTAGAGCTCTGAAGTTTCGGTAGCAGTGGTGTTTATGTTTATGGGATGGGATTTCTAGCCTCATGCCCAACTTTCCCTCTTTACCAGTCTTGTCACCGGCTTAGCGAGTGAAAGGGGTATGTCGGCCAGAGATCGGACCTCGAACCACATGCGTGGCTGACGAGCATTCTACCGCTGTGCCACCAACGCACACACAGAAAGCATTAGTGTCTTATGATTTTTTTTGGCATTAACACATAAGGACTCCAGTAAAAGGAGTTAAATTATAGAAATGTCCTTCAAATTCAGGCATATTTAAGTCTGTAACTCACTAATTTTTAGCTTTAGCTTAAACCTAATATTAAATTGCCTTTATTTGACATATTTTAATACATTAACGTGCACAGAATATCAGAAATACAAATTCCGTTTATGGAATGCGCAAAGATTTCATATAAACTCATAAAATACATCATTAAAGTATGCCTTAAAGTACACATAAATATTGAGAATCTCTACAATTACTTTAGAGCAATTTCTGACTATGCATTAATTCTTTTTACTTTTTATCTTGCTGAATTCACAAATAAATTCGTTCAAAAAAGTTCAACTTTTATTGTTATTGCTGGTGTTCTTTCATGTTTTACCAGTTTTAGGAGTGGTTAGACACATAAAGTTGGCAGTTTAATTGATTTACGATCCACTATTTCCTCCATTAACACATTCCTCTTCAAAACGTTCTATAAGATCTTGAATTTTTAATGTGTGCTTCCAATGCATGTTAACAGTGCTTAGAAGTGTGTTACTGATAACACAAAACGTTTTAATGTCTTCTAAATTTTTTGAATACAAAATGGGTGTTTCATTGCATGCATGCATGCAGGGATATTTTGCTGTTATCTTCAGTAGTTAAGTTGATTGCTGAGTGTCAGATTAGCTAAAACGTGTTCTATTAAAGTTGATTCACCCAAGTAAAATTTCCTGATCAACTCTTAACTATTAGCCAATGAATACTGGTCGTATATTGTTATCGTAGACTTGACACGTATACAACACACGTCACATACGTTCATGTGGAGATGTGATCCATTGGCTTAAGCGGTTGACTTCCAGCCAGTGGGTCCATGGCTCAAATGTCGCTCCACTCTCTTCAGCTTGAATAAAGCAAGAGCAACAGTTTGTGCAGAATAATATGGTACCATCATTCATTTTGTTGGCTTCTCATCATCTGTTTGTAGACCAGAGAAATTATTAAGTTTATGTACAGAAGAAATATTAACATAACCAGAGATTTCAAGTTTAAACAGAAAATTAATGTCTGTACACAATGGTAATAATAATCACTTTACTCCAAACAATAATAATCATAGAGACTGGAATTTTCAGCGTCGTGTAACCAAGTGAAAGAGAAAATAAAGACATACAGTTACCAGGGCAAGGAAAGACTGGTAACTGCTCCTTGGTGTCTTTACGCATATGCTGTTGTGTAAGTACTTAAGTTAATTTTCCATATTTTTGTTTCTTATATTCTCTGCATACTGTAAAGACACATAATGAACATGTAAAGGAATATATCCTACGGGAAACGTCTGGTGCATTACGTGATGTTCTTACAGAAATATGTAAGTACAATACTTACCACCATTTTCTATTTTTCATTTTTAAAGTGAATGAAAATAATTCTATTGCTTTAGCTGGATGATTGTTAAGCCTATATGAAATACACAAAACAGTCTCGTTAACTTGACAAACTAATTAACTGAAGCCGCATTACAAAATATTCATCAGTACAATTCCATTATGGATAAAATTGATTTCGTTCACTTAGAATCTACTATCAACACATGCAATAGGAATGACTGGTCACTAGTACCAGAGATATGGAAAATGCTACTACCAGTCAAATCAAGAGATGCAAAATAATGGAATTATACAAACGAATTTCGAAAGTTGTGTGAGTAATTTGATATGATTATGGGCAATAAATTGTACTCAAAACTTCATCAGTAAATATTATTGTATAACACTGTGAAACTTTATCAAAATAAATTTTATCCATAATAGAATTCTACTCTACCAAAGTGACCAAGTTCTATTGTTATATTCATCAGTACACTACCATAGATGAGCAATATTGGGGTAAATAAGTATGAAATACAAACAGGACAATATATTCACTCTGTAGTGTTTACAAGCAATTTGACATTGCTAATAATCACATCATACGTATACATGTAGCTCATGCACCATTTCGAGAAGAAATATTGAACGTCTTTAAAAGATTAATCTCACAGGAAAGCAAAACTAATCACCTATATACTCCTACCTTCTGTGATAATCGTTCAGATGCTTCAAAGAGGCTTTATTTGACTATTTGGATTTTGCTTAAAAATTTATTCAAATATAAACTTGGCGCACTAAGATATGCGCCACAGAAAATCTGCGTGGATACCCAGACAAAAGCAGATGGTTGACTTGATTTGGAGTCCCATCCACAAGGCAGTGCAGAAGCATCGGGAGGTGAATTCCCACGGATCCCAGTGATTGAAATAGGTTCATGTGCCATTCAATTCTTTCGGATTCTGGAGCTCATGTGCTCCATAGGCATGGAGTTAGGGTTATTCAGTTCCCTTAGGTAGATCAGGACGTCCACAAGTCCGGTTGTAAGCGCCACATGTCCACAATCATCCCTTCAATTTTATGGGGAAAAACCTTACCAGGTGAAAGAAGGACTTACCTGGCAGAGTCTGTGGACACCGCACAGCAATATACTAGAATTTATTTATGTCTTATTCAACTCATATACATTCATCGTTTTGGGATTTTTTTCTGAAGATTGTTACTGTTTTACTACTTTTATCCCAGACGATTATTCGGTTGACAAGCCGATGTATTTTGCAAGTATATTTCACGATGAATTAACTAAAACAAAAACGAATGCACTGAAACTTCAGCGCCTACTAATTTTACGTTCAGAAGTAAGAATTTACATATAATGTGTCATATATTTGGTATTCAGTTGTTGGGTCATTTAGGACACGTTAGATTAGAATTTTGTTAGGTGGAGAATGTGTGTATGTCTTTATGTTAACCAGGTTAACCGCCGAAAGCACCAACCCCAACAGTGTATACCTTCATAACCTTTTCTTGAATAAATTAACAATAAATTATCGCCAGTGCCGACAAATGTTGGACAGATATACATACAAGCGTGGTAATAAGTGGTCTGTCCAGAAATCAGAAGTCACAGAGAGGGTTTAAACCCCATGTGCTGGTTGATATCTCCTAGGCAGGAATAAATGGGTGAATTTAATAAACCCTTCCCCACACAAGTACCAATTATTTATTTCAAGAGAAAAGGTCTGTTTCTCTGTGAGTACACAAGACAGCCTAATTAAAGTTAGTCTGTATATGACAGACTACTGAGATAAACAAAAACATTTGAAATGAAGTTTCCCTAAATCCTTGTGCATAGCTGTGAAATACCGTGTCAACTAGAGTAAATCTGTGTGAAATGACGCTAGTCATAGAATAAAGTTTAATCAGACTTGGAAAATGTCAACTACAGCGATTCACCTCAGTGGCTGAATCCTAACACGTTCAAAAAAAGATCTAATGATTTTGATCAGGATCCAGTATACAGTTGTGCCTGTACACCGCTGATCCAGGGCTATAAGTAAATACACATTTAATGCTGCATAGCTTTTTGCCTGGAAATTTCAATTAGTAACTACTGAAGACGAATTCACAGAAGTTCGGATGAGCTGCAATTATACATGGGTGTATGTGCACTCAAGTTATCTTACAGACTGGTAGAAATAGCAGGAAGAACTACTAAATTTTGCATATTTGTTGACAGATTACATTCCAGAGATTCGTGGATATGTCTTTCCGAATAGTTTCAAAGAAAGAAAAGGATCGATACCTTTTACTTTAATTTCAACGATTTACTGGTTGTGATGAAAACTGTTTCACTCGTTTGTATGCAGAACAGGGTTTAAGATTACAGGGATTTTATAAAAGAAGTGTGTACAATAGTAAATGCTTATCTCTTAACAAGGACTCCATTGAAAAGTTGCCATGGTTCACTATTTCCAATCATATATATATATATATACTCGTGGTATCACTGAGGAAAACTGCGTGGAAAAAATCGGAATTCTCTGCAGGTGATTTTCTAGGAAACGTACGAAGAAAGAAGAGACAAGACAAGGAACGGCTCTCACAGGGCATCTGAAAGCTAATAGAAGAGAGGAGGATGACTAAAGGGAAGATGACCCCATGCAAAACGGCAACGGGAGAAAAGCTAAGTTAAATGTACACTGCACTGAATAAAGGAGTGAAGAAGAGTAGAGAATTCCCAGAAGCCTGGTACTCAAGCGAATATGCGATTAACAAACATGTTAATATTGACCAAATCTACCAATTAATAAAAAGTAAATCATGTGACGAGAAAGTTCAAAATCCAAATCACTAAAAATGATCAATGCAGATGTAAATCGAATACCAGTTACGAAGATGATTACCAGGAGAGGCAATTATATCATCCATGATGAATTTAATCATTTCCTTTTATGCTAAAATTTGCGCTGAAGATGTTGTCCAGAAGGACGACGAAAGCTCCGCAATTAAACCAACCAGCTCAGAGAACACAACTAATTGCAAAGTGAAGAAGAGTGCCAAGAAAGACAAAAGACAACACACTGGCCGGCAACTGAAGCAGAAAAGGCCGCAGGCAAAAGAAACATCAAGAGACTCCATCAGATAACCGAGTCTCTATCCGGGAGGAAATCAACCCAGATTATGAAACCAAGAAAAGATGCTCAAGGGAACCTGATCACCAAGGTGGAGAAACAAATAAAACTATGGGCTGATCACTTCAAAGGACTCTTGAATCGACCGTCACCTGCAACTCACTCAGAAGCACACCAAAACCAACAGCACGCACAGGTTTGTGATAACAGCACGTGTCAGCTGGTCTACAATGGAAAACTCAGTGAGGCGTTCAAGGTGCATACAGGATTAAGGCAAGGCTGACTGCCTATTATCAGCAACGATATTATTAATTGTGGTAGATTGAATCATGCGTCAGACTGTGCACAGGGAATGAGAAGGCAGGAATGAGTCGGAATGATCGATAAGAAGACTCTAGAACATCTGCATTTCGCGCGTGGATGATTTATGTTGAATGTCACACAAACTCGAAGACGTGCAGGATAAACCAACAGACTGGCAGTCAGCGAGGACGGGAGTTCAAATGAACGTAGAGAAGATGGAGGTGATGAAGATAACCAAACAACAACAACAACCAGCACCAGCCACCGTCAACGGAGAGATTTGACAGAGATTACTTCCTTTACTCACCTAAGAAGCACTGTTTCAACCGTAGGTGGAACGGATGCAGATGTCAAATCCAGCCAGACAGCCAGCCAGCCAGAATCAAAAAGGCTAGATTCGCCTTCACCAACCCGAAGTCAGTCGAGATTTCTTGTAAACCCAGCATAAAGAAAAAGATTCAGATTCTATTCAACACGAATGTAAAGTCAGTCAGTTCCTCCAGTGGGGTTCGAAACTTGGCGAGCATGTCATGAAACGGATTACCAACAAGTCCTAGACTTTTATCAACAGCTTATTCGCTTCCTTTTGAAGATCAAATCACTGGTGAGAAAGACTTAGTAACAAGAAACTCTGGCAACAAACCAACCAATAGCCAATTACTCAACAAGTATGTATGAGAGAATGGAGATGGATTGGGCATACATTGAGGAGGCTGTTAAGTGACATTGCGCGCCAGGCCACTATTGGAGTGGATTCCCAAAGAGAGGTGACGAGTGGGTCGTTTGAGGGTGACATGGAGGAGATCGTTTGGCGAGGAGGAGATGAGAGACTATGTGCAACCGTGGACCCAGCTGGATAGGATGGCAGAAAATAAAACACAGTGGAGATGTGTTGTTTAAGCCATATATTCCCCACCCCCCCCCCAGAACCCAAAGGAATAATAATAAAAATACAACCTAAAGTATCCGATAATATCAATGAAGACTGTTATTCGATTCACGTCAAGATAGTCATTAGAAATAAAATTTCTAAACACACCCTTTAACACCATACTGTTTTAACTAATGGATAAACGAACTTTAAAGGTAATGCAGTCTGTGCATTAGTGTTTCACATAAAAACCTACTGGATTGTATAATTCATATCATTTGATAATAGGCCCTATAGAAAACTTGGCTCACATCTTTCTGTATGAAACATTCCATTATAGTTAAACTGAATCTCGTGGTCGTGTTTATCATGTGCGTGTTTTAAATTCACCACTATCAGCCATCAGTTAATGTAATTTCAGATTATTCTGATCAGGTGACTCAACCCTAGAAAAAAAGAGAGAGGGAGAGATGCAACCCCATTTTAAACCATTTATTCATTTTGATAATGAGTAAACCAAATTATCAAATGCTCTACACAACAATCTTCTCTTCAACTTACTTTTGTTAACTGTTTTAGATAGATTTACATTCCATAGATAAATCATATAAACGAAAGTATGGTGTTTCTTTGTCAAACGAAATAAAACAAAAGTTCACCGATCAGTACGGAGAAGCACTGCAGTCAATTTTAATGAAACGTGAAATATCAAATATTTTTCAACATTCAGTAGAAATAATTATTTAACTATGAACATATTTGGATATTTTAAATCTTTTGCAAATTTTAGCAATCAAATTCAAAAATTAACATATTCACTTTGCTTAATATAACTATCTTGACGTTTATTATGATTGTTTCTTGTCTACAAACGACTGTCATCAGATGTTTATTTTATTACATAGTGATAATTCTTCGTTAAGGTAATCTTTTATTATTCGATTATGCCTAGATTTAAAAAGAAATTTATTCACACATTAACCGGATCAGAAATATTCTACCCGTCTATTCTGCCTATAATTGTTCATTCGAATAACAGACCATATAAATGATACTTGATCATTATATTGTAATAAAAGTCATTCAAATCGCGAAATATATTGGTTAATTCTTAAGGAAAAATACGGTTTTTTTGTTCATCGAAGAAATATCTCCTTTTAACGACTTCATTTTCAAGTTAACTGTACAGTCGTATTTATATTACGAAAAAAGGCATTATGTCCACATCTATGTGCAAATAATCATCCACATGCTTATGTGGAACTGATTACATTGGACATTGTAAGCGTAATCTCCGTAAACACGTAGCTGAACATTACCCGGTTTGGTTAATGAAAGGTGAGCAAAAGACAACAAAGTCTTCAATCTGTGAACACCTTCTGCAGTCAGGTCATCCAACCTCAGGTGATTTATCTTTCAAAGTTATCTACATGACCAAATCCAATTAATCGAAAAGTTTACGTTTTCTCCACTTATGCATAACTGAAGCTCTAGCTATACATGGACAAGAACCTAAATTATGTATTCAAAAACGTTTAGTCAAACCCCTTTCTTCACCTTGGTTGTAGTAATGTTCTTTTATTTTATTCTATTTTACCACTTGGATTCATTCCACTTTCGCTGTCTTTATTATAACCTTAATGGTTATCATCATCGTACTCTTAATTTTGTAGACAACACCCGACCTACAATTTTAAAATCTTTATGCCAGTTCACTTATTTAATAATCTTCAGAAGTTGTGTAATTCATCCACTTCAACTCTACCCCCTTAGTACATCATTATAATTATCTTTATTCTTATCATATGTATATTGACTGAGGGCGAAACAGCTGTCCAGTACTCATGATGAAATCCTGTAACCAATTTCTAGTGCCACTTAATGCCTGTTTCCGTAATATAAGTATGGCTGTACAGTTAGCTTGAAAATGAAGTCGTTCAAAAGAGATATTTCTTCGATGAACAAAAAACTGTGTTTTCCCTTATACAAGTCATTGTTTGAAGACTAGTGATGTTACCACGTTGTTCATAATTTCACAGGTGAAGCAGAATAAAAACCTGTAACCAAATGATTGAAAGTCAAGCGCCTAAACAAGAGAGCCATATCTCAACCGAATCGATAACAACTACGGAAATGAAGTCAGAAATTTACATGACTGCATTGATATAATTAAGGGTAATGAATTGTACTTGAAATATCGTTATTATGTTATATGAAATTATTTGAAGTTTGTAGAATATTATTCTAGTTCACACAACACAATAAAATATTGTTGGAAGAATAATTTATTATTTAATCTAATTTGGATTTTCCCGTTAATTGATTTGACCGAAGTTCTGGGTCTCTGTTGACATGTCACCTCCTTCTGAGGATGTTTCGACGATGTCTGAGGATTTGATCTGAAGTAATTTGGTCGGTGATGACTAGCAGTGGAATCATCCTGTTGGGGGCTCTTCAGCAGGAGGATGTGCCTGCATCGACCAGTGATTGAACGGTGTTCTCAAAGGAGCTCTAACCTATTACATATAGTTTCAAATCTCAAAGTGTTATCCACTTGACCACTTAGGCCACCTCTTGTGCAACTGGTATCACAGTTACCATTTGATTCAATTTCAACTTTCTCGTTGATTGATTGGACAGTATTGCTGAGTTCGAGCCTCAATGGGAACGCTACCACTCACTTGGAAACGTCGGTGCATCCAGATAACGAGTCCAAAATAGGACTAGATGCACATCTTGGATTCCGCTGCTGGTCACCATCCACCAAATCACTTCAGAATAATTTATTGTTTATTACCACACAAATGCACCCACATAAGTTCCTGAATTCATTTTCACTTCTACTTCTTTCCAGTTTATAATAAAAACATCATAGACGCTATTCCTTTCAAATGCAGATTGTGTGGTCCATTGCCTTTAATGCTTGGTGTTCAACCAGTGGATACTTATTCGAATCATCTTTGACTTATTTCAGCCTATATGTCTGAGTAGTTTCGTAGTCGTTCAAACAATGAGTGTTATTCCTAACATGAGATTTAAAAAATTATAAATCCCGATTAACTAACAACTTACACCTATAGTGAATTGAGTTTAACTCCTGGAATTTTACGTTCATTTTTCACTGGAGACGTAACTATGAGCTGGGAATGGCCTTGGGATAATATGACGTTCATTTTAAGTCTGTGTTTATGTCAGAAGTGACCTAAATCTGATCGGTGTAGTTAATGAATTGCGCTAGGTGACTAATTCTTTATTAAGAACAGAATTTTTGCGATGAAATGATATAATCAAGAGGCTCATCTGTTTGGATACAAATTCAAAAGGATACTTTATAGGTATCTACTACACAATTTGCTGGGAAATCAAAACTGTTAATGATTATCTACTGTCATTTTAGGAGGACCAATGCTCACCAGGACAATCATCAGATGTAAAAATAATGGCTCCTCAACCACATGGACACTTTCATTATTACCTATAGGATATGAATTATTTTTAAAGCAATAACCTAGGCATTGACAAAAAGATGGTTTAGAATATTTCATGTTTTAATATATATCGCTGCATCTACTCATTAAAGATTCAAATTTCCAATAGGATGTAGACATTGATTCTTTAAGTCGCAACAAAATTCAGAAGTCAGATTTTAATCTTTGTAGAGATTTATAATAATTTTGTCGTAGATTTCGACACCCATCGAAATCAGGGAGTGCTGAACAACTGTTTCGTCCCATTTTTGGGCTCTTCAGAAACGTCGATATCCAGATTTTGAATACCGTGGGGAATTTGGATAATTTCAATATGGATTCCGTTAGGAACGAACACTCGTTTGAGGATCATTATGAATGTGAAAATAACGAAATTAACTTATACAAAACATTAGGTGAAAACCTCCTAATCTAATCTCTTTATGTTGAATGCTAAAAGCAAAACATGTAGATGGTATCAGGATAACATTAATTACGCCTCAGACGATGAGTGATGCCTCTTAAAAGACCTTCAATGTATTGACAACTTCATTTGGACTTCACATAAATCAATCTTCTTCTTGATTCACAGCACTACCTTTGACCTTTAAACTCACACGTTTGTCAGGATAATCATTCTATGGATTATTCTGGGCTTTTTAGTTGTTAATTCAAAATTATCATTCTTGACATGGAATAAACATGTTATCCATATACTAACAAGCCAATAAATGATAAACACCATCTTAATTCGTTACTCCTTAATTGGCCACATTCGACAAGCGATACTAATGGATAACTCCTCGAGGCTTCTCTTTTGTAGACAAGTATTCATCTCTTGTTTCTTTATTATACCTACGATATAGTCAATTACCTTGTAGATGGAAAATTCGTATCCAAAACTAGCATACACTCGTTTTGAACGTCTAACTGTTTCATGAAGCCTGCGACTTCAAAGAAATCACTAGTAATGAGTTTGAATGAGATCCTTATCACTGGTTCTAAATTTTCCCTGATTATTTTCAGACAGAATGGTATTATGAATTACACCATAAAAATTACTGTCTATGGTACGCTTTCTTAATGCACTCTGACCAACACATAATTTCTCGATATTAGTGCACATTCAGATCCCGTTAATACATGCAATAGTGCTTAGTACTTCTCTACTCTTAAAAAGGAATAATATGCTTAACCAATCACCCGATTATCACATAGTCTGTGTAATTATGAACCATATCACTGTACTGGAAACTCTATCTAACCCAGTCACATTACTTAAGTATATTTCATTGCTTACAGGTAATCTCAATGGCAATAGTTCTAGTTAAAATAATTCCTGTTGATGTTATGTATCATCACCAAGTATATTAAATAATAAATTGGTCAATGGCCATTTAATAATTACACACATATGATTACTTGTATGTAACAGAGATAATCAATACCATTGAATGCAAAAGCATATATGGCTTTCAAAACTTTACGAGGTCAAATTCCAAAGTAAATGAATAAAATGAAGATCGATCGAAAACTATTCTATTGAAGGCTTAGTTGATTACTTGATAGTACATATAAGAAATTTCCTATTTTCTCGGGGCTTTTTTTAACTAAACGACAACAAAACGACTGACCCTATTCAAGCAGTGATCTGGGATTCTAGTGGGAAGCAGTGAACAGTAGGGTGCAGCAGTTTGAAGGTGAGGCAGTAACTCATCGAAGGAGACATTGCGAAGTGGTCGTGCTATGTCATGTATTGGCAGAAGCTAGAATTCATGGGCCACTGGATCAGGTTCCAGTGGCTTAATGGTCTACGAGATAGCCTTGTAACCAGGAGGTCCTGGGTTCGAGCCCCGGTGAGTGCGTACTGAAGAGTCCCAAACAAGGATGAAATAGCTGTCCATTTCTCCCAGGTTTTTCAATGGTTCTGTAACTGATGTCAGCTCATGATGAAATCTTCCAGCCAATCAAACTAGATCCCTACAAAAACCAATACTTGAAAACGAAAGTAGTATTCAAATACTATAATAATGATCAATATGACTGACTGTTGGACCACTGACTGACTAACTGGTTTCAACATAGAACTTTGCAGAGATGTTCAGCAATTCGAGTCGCCACACTTCATGTAGCACACAAAGCAAGAGGAGACAGTAAAGTGAGATTCGAAAGAGATAATAAACAGAACTGTGAGCAAAAAAGGATAGTAATACGGAAAAACAATAGAATTTTATTGGATATGAACAATCACAAAGAGTGAATGCATTCGCGGTAGCCATTGAGAATGACCATTTTGAGCCATATTACTAATTGTCTCCAGCCACTGGTTCTTACTATCCCGAAGACTTCAACTAGTCAGGAAGTCTGCATCTCCGTACCTGGCTTAAACTAACTGTTGTGGATTTCATTGACTGATACTCAGTTTTGGTTTGACCAACATTAGCTCTTTTCCAACCTGATGCTATGTCAGCTAACATTGCTCGTCAAGGAAAGAGATGGCTAGGCTAGGCGTGAGTAACACATGTCCTAACCATCTCAATCGGTGCAACTTCACAGTCTCGTCGAGTGATCTTCCCTCCTTACTTAGCAGCCGACGCCTAACGTCAATATTGCTCACCCTACCATTTCACACGGGAGATAGAAAGCAGGCACTTATGATCAAAGACAGTTAGCTGGCTAGGCTTTTCATGTCTTCCACTTACAATGGCCATGTCTCACAGCCATTAAGGAGGACAGTACGAACTACTGAGCAGCAAACATTTCCTTTGGTCGACAGCCGGATATCACGTCTACGCCAGAGATGGCGTAAGTTGGCATATGCCAAACGAGCTTTCTGTATCTGTGCTGAGATTTTACCAGCGATCAATGCAATGCCATCGGATGATGCAACTCCCCATATAAGTGAAGTATTCAACACGCCCTACCACTTCACTCCCTACCTTTAAGCTAGGAGTCAATGTAGTCCAAACTGGTGAACCAATGTAGAATATAGAACAGAAATGCGTCCATTAAGCTCCGCACACTTCGTCAGGAACACAAAATAAGAGAAAAGAAACAGAGTGATACTAATGCAGACAAACGTAGTTGCAATCTGAAGGTATTTAGAATCTAGAAATTTCTAAGTGATTACATCCGCACTTTTATAAACGATTTAAAACCCTGCAAAAAATAATTCTTAGCATGTCAGTGAATGAAGTCAAGCAGTCTATACCCGCATAATTGGCTCAAACTTACCAGTCAATGACCTTGGGAACTGATGTCACTGCTTATATCTGACCACTTCTAACACTTTTAAAACTTAATCCTACTTCAGTGAACGATGCTCGCCAAAGAAATTGTTGTCTCAACATACCTAATAGAGGTTCAATTCACGTTAATCTATAAAGATTCAAAGCTTGATCAATTGATTTATCCGACTTATCTAAAACTATGCTTAACCTCATCATTGCTTACCATTCTGCCTCTATGATAAAAAATTGCTGATTTCTACACCTCTTATCCTTAAACCTGTTATATTTCTCGATAGCAAAATAAGAAATAGAGAGCAAACTGCTGGACGACACAAACACATTATTTGGTAAATAACCAGATATTATGTCGGAACCAGAAATGATACCATTTGATAAAGCTAAAGCGTCTTCTAAATCCATAGTAAAATTTAGTCTGTAACCAGTTCTTTATGAATGATTCAATTACAAAACAAGTGAATTGAAAAGCAAAGTCGGCCTGCTTGACCTAAGTCAACGATAATCATCCTTAGCGGTAGTAAAATAGTGTAAACGTCCAATATGATCACAGTCAGGTCGATAAATAATGAGTAACTTTGCAGAAAACTTATTCTACTCAAATTGATGAACTTCAGTAAACAATGCACGAAAATAAATAGAGCAAATCTAATGAAGACTACCATGGACAAAGATATAGGGAAGAGACTACAAATAAAAGATTAACTGCAGAAGACTTTCATAGAATTACAACAGATGTACTTTTAATAAATCCCCTTTTTCAATATTTATATGATTATTTCAAAAGAACAAAATGTGTTCTGATAGAGTCTATGAAAATTATTGTCATTGAAGTTAATCAGTCAGTAAAAGTGATAATTAAAGTGGAAAAGTTCTCCCCTTATGGCGATTTACTCGAGCATAGTTTATCATAAGAACAAAAACAGGAAATCAAATGTTATGAAATCATACGCAATCATTTAGAGAATAAATTCATTCAAGAAAAATCAACAAGCGAATCCGACTAAAATGAACTTCCAGTCAATGAAAAGTGAAAATTTTAAAAACCCTAAATGTGCATATCATTGGCTAAGCAAACTTACTGAAAATCACCAACTGTAGTAGGATAGTGTATATTTACTTTTGTCACTTGTTGCGCTTTCACAACTAATACAACACAATTTAAATAATGCACATCATACTTTTTCGCTTTCACGAAGTTAGGAAACAACAGTACCGAATTAGTGGAAACCAGGTAAAGTTATAAAAGGAGATTATCAGACAAATTAGAGAAATTATGTCAGAGAATGAAAGACTGACAGATAACCAGGCAGGTATCAGATAAATCTTGTCCCAGCATAAGTCACAAATACGTCAACCATCACAGCATCAAGGCACTCCAATGTGAAATGTGATTAATATTTCATAAAATACAAAAACATATATAGTCTGTAGTGCTTCGATTTCGATAGAGTAGGAAAACAATTCAGTCTTCTTTTGGCTCCGTAATATGTCCCATGAATAGTGGCACACTGTTATTCCACACAATCGATATGAAGAATGGATGGTCTACACGAAACACGGGAACAGGTTTAGCAGGAGGTGCCATTGAGCATCTTAGCATAACTACTGCGGTACCTGCAGCAGCAACTGCGCCTTTCTCATCCACCTGTAACATGCAGAAAACAATTGGAAACATCGTGAGTATCAGTAACTGCATATGAGTTGCAACTATATATAGTAGTACCCACTATCTACCGCATGTTTATCTCTCTCTGTCTGTAAGTGAACTACCATTTGTCAAATGATATAATCAAACAAACCTTGAGACACTCTACACCCACAACGTCAATAACAAAAGGATATTTATATTGTGCATTGGACGACTAGTTAATGTGTCATAGTTCTGTGATCCATTGATCATGAAGAAAGTTCACGACATTCGACAATATGGAGAATAATTTCCTTTGTATCCATGTTTTCTTCCGCTGTCTCAAGTGCCTGAAAACTTTTACTTCAAAACGTTGACTTCTAAAACTTGGGTAGAAACATGAATTACCTATGAATACTACCTCAACATGACATCAATCAACTGATATCCACATTCAAAGCTCTCTCTTCCATTCAAGATTTTCAACGTGTAACGTGTAAGCCGTTGCTTGAGTTGGATATGTGAAATGTCTTCATGGATATGGTTCCGAATCCCGGTGGGTGTGTGCTGATGAAGGACTACAAACTGGGACGAAACAGCCGTCCAGTACTCCCAGGTTTTCCAATGGTTCTCTAACCGATATCGGGTCATCACGAAATCCTGTAACCAGTCAAATCCCTGCAAACCAACACTCAAATACAAATAAAATAATCTAGTAGTTATGTTGTCTCTTATTTTCGAACAGCTATGCACATGTATTAAAGTCTATTCAGTGTACTCTCTATCAGGATTTTTTATTCTCTCGTCTTTCCGGCATCCTACATGTAATCCCAACCTACCTCCCTACCTTCACAATACCACCATTGCATTCTGTGCAGCAACTAACTCGTGTCAGCGTTGAAATGCATTCGTTTGTCATGTTGTGTCTTTACAACACAGTCAAGTCAACAAAAAAGCAAAGCGATTAAAATTCCTTTCATCCCATAATATAAATACTGACGCTAATAAGATGCACTGTACATTCAGCGAAGAGAATGAAAATTAAAACATCATTTACTTTGACATTTGGCCGATTAGCCTTTCGAATTCATACAATACACTTCTCAACAGAAGAAAATCAGATGATTTCATCTGCAAACAAGATATTCAGTGATGACAATTGGAGCTATAATATTCAAGCAACTTTAGGTCTAGAGAAAAATCTGTGTAAATCACATCGACTGAAGCGCATGTTACTATTAGAATCCCCAGTAACACGTTTTACACCATCAATGAGAAGTGACGAAGGTGGCTACTTACGAACAACACTCATATTGAATATTTTCGAAATTTCAATCACTTGCTTTCAAGGAAACACCTGCTTCTCACTATTTCTCAATGTTGATTTCATAGGAAAAGAGAGATTGCAACCAATCAACTAGCTCTTATCAAACACTCTTTCAATGTGACTCTCTCTCTCTCTGTCGGTTAGTATACGGTACTTTAAAAGGTGTTAAGCAGTTATTCAGTTTTCCTAACTATCTAGAAACTAAGGGTGCACAATCTTAACAAATTGAGAAGTAGGAGCATTACGCAGCTTGCTATACTAGCCAATAAAGGATATTAATTTATGACATGATTGTATAGTACGCCAGAAAATACTATAGGGATTGGGGACGCCTTTGAATCCACGTCTTCGTATTATCATTTCGAAGGTGATCGTAAGTGAATTTAACGACACGACTTATGTCCGTATTAAAAATTCCTTTATTGAAAATCAGTTCGTCATATACAGACCACATTATCACACTTATTATAGAATATCGATCTACTTTCAGTCTTCCAAATGACATCTCCTAAGTACATGACAAAAGGGCTGGGCTACAAATCATTATAATTTATTACACGGATATCGACAACATCTAATAAAATGTGAAAGTAAAATTAGACTCAAGTGGCTGACTTGTAAATAGTAATCAGTCTATAAGGCAGTAGGATTTAATAACACAAGACTTCGATACACGATCAGTGTTAAGTAGAATACTATTCAACAAACATATCATAACGGTCTACTCAATGCTGACTGAGTCTAATGTTTTCAAAATCCCCTGTTTGTGTATTTCATAGGTGTTCTACATAATCTATGATACAAAACTGTCTCAGTAATTACGTTACATACGTACAACGTCAATCAGAAGCTTAAGACGATACTACGACCAGCACATGTATTCGTCATGTGGTGTAATTACCTTATCATAAATTAAAAGTCGTTACTTCTTTGGTATTTAGTCGAGTACTATACACCAGCGACCAAACAAGACAAATCAATTGTAGTAGGATAGTGTATATTTACTTTTATCACTTGTTGCGCTTTCACAACTAATACAACACAATTTAAATAATGCACATCATACTTTTTCGCTTTCACGAAGTTAGGAAACAACAGTACCGAATTAGTGGAAACCAGGTAAAGTTATAAAAGGAGATTATCAGACAAATTAGAGAAATTATGTCAGAGAATGAAAGACTGACAGATAACCAGGCAGGTATCAGATAAATCTTGTCCCAACATAAGTCACAAATACGTCAACCATCACAGCATCAAGGCACTCCAATGTGAAATGTGATTAATATTTCATAAAATACAAAAACATATATAGTCTGTAGTGCTTCGATTTCGATAGAGTAGGAAAACAATTCAGTCTTCTTTTGGCTCCGTAATATGTCCCATGAATAGTGGCACACTGTTATTCCACACAATCGATATGAAGAATGGATGGTCTACACGAAAGATGGGGACATGTTCAATAGGGATGGCTATTGACATGACAGATATCTGAATTGCGGTACCTGCAGCAGCAACTGCGCCTTTCTCATCCACCTGTAACACATACAGAAAATAAGTCAATATATTTTGCTGTAGGCAATGATAACATTGAAGAACTGTGTATTGTGATGCACTGTCTGAACTTATGTCTTCACTTTACCATGAGATTTCGTAGAAACAATTGAAACGCAGAACTTGTTACTAAACTGCGTTCGTTCTAGCCCCCACAACAAGTCGCAACATTATACAGAAGCGGAACAACAATGCAGTGAATGGACTTCAGTACCATAGCGTGCAGAACAATTGGAGGAAGTTAATTCCAGAATTTTCAAAATTTCGAGAAATACGAGTCGCAAACACTCATATACCATTGTGATCACTTTCGACGATATTATCACAGATGTATAGCTTCTGATTTCGAGCATATCTAACGACTAACGACGTGGAATTTTATTGTTTATTGCCACTTTTTCATGCTACTTTGTGTCACACACTGAAACAGTAGTATTTATTGGCAGATAATTTTATGGATAGGTGTTCAGATTGAGCTATCGAAACATTCAGTTCCACACCCAAAGTATGCTGAAGGTATCTAGATGATACATTCAGAGTATTAAAAGCACCCGATATAAATAAGTTTTTTGATGACATCAACTCAGTGGCAGATGCAATTCAATTCACTTATGAGTAGGAAAGCCAAGAAGGGAGCTCTAAGTGTTGAATTGTGCCGTAAAAAAAAACAGGAAGTTAAACACTAGTGATGTTTGAAGAAAACCAACTGCCAAAGATTTCATGGACTGATACAAGGTTTTGGTTTGCCTGCCACTTACTGCCTTCCAACCTAATCTCATGTCCACTAACAGTTCGGCATGCGAAACAAGCGTCCTTACCATGTCACTCAATGTAGCCTCATAGCCTTATCGACTAACTTATCCTCCTTGATACATAAGGCCCAGCTTCAGTATTGCTCACCATATTACACCACCTAACTTCTTAACTCACCATTTCATCACCGAACATTCGGTCAGAAACAACTGATGGTACCAATTTAATAAAACGCGTAAGCCGCAAATCATCTCTATTATCTTAACATAGTCTTATTTTTCACAGACTCAAAACCCATGTCTAATTTTGCAAGATTCTCTATTAATACCTTTGAAAGACATTTGCATTTTTATTAGCTTTTTCAACTAACCATGCTTTATGAGTCCCTTTTATCGACGACGGCTTCCAAAGTTTCTGTTAGCTCACCGTCTGAACATCAACAGTACGAAATGTCGTACTGTACAGTCTTTAACTCGAGACAAACATTATCAACTACATAAATGGTGTTACATGGGAGAATTCTACGCGGGTATTATTCTTGGTCATAAACCACTGGAAAAGAATATCACCTAGTACCTTTTCCAAAACAATAATCAATATGCAGAAGACAAGCAGGTACATAGAAGCACTAACACATGAGTGAACTTTCATTAGGTAAATTTATTACCTAGAGTTATCTGTAGCAGTTTCATGCCACTTGACACTTTATAGTTTGAATAACTCATTCACTAAGTTTGTTTTCTTTCGTCTTTTCATTTCTTTTGCCTTATCTTTCTTCCCGTATATTTTCAGTCATACCTATGGATGAGTGATTAAATGCTTATGTAGATACCTAAATTTATGAAGTCATGTGTTCACACTACAGAAAAGTTGTAAAGAGGATTAAAATAACAATGCTTCTCCTAAGAGACGTGGCTTACAGAATTTTCAGTTCATAGATTTGATTTGATCTAAGCTATCGGATACCACCACAAGGATGCACGCATAACTTTTGGTCAGTAACCTGGGATATAACGAAAAAAAATGTACCAACTACCTGAGTTACATTATTATTTAAGCAATTCTCAGTGCGATGACCCAACGAAACCCACTTTTGTATAACCACCTAAATTGTTCTGTTTGCTCCAGACTATGGGAGGTAGCTAGAAATTTTCTACATCCTACAAAGTATTACACATTATTCATCTCAAAATGTCTAAAACTTTGCTTCAATGGTGGGAAGCTTGTCAAAAATTTACCAAGTGGTTACAGAGAAAATAAACCACAAGTCAAGTTCATGTCAACAAATTCAACTGAGAATTTTCACAATTAATAACAATTTACGTGGACTCTTATCAATGGTAATAAAGTCAACATATCCCAATTACTTAACACAGGAATTCAATTTTTTTAAATAGTCACATGAAGCCGGATGATACAGACTGACATATTGGCGACATTATCGTACGCAATCGAATTTCAATAGGCAAAATTAAACCGACAGGATATATCGATATATAAAGTTTGCAGTTACAATTGAAAACATCATGTTCAAATCGAAGTGAACTGAAATAAAGACGATGTAACACCTACCAAAACAGGATGTGATGTGAAGCAAAACCAATACACCAAGATTACTATAATACTTGTAAAAGGATTAAATACGAATATATTTGTATGACTGTAACTTATTTCACAATGAACACTCGATTATTCCAGTACACACTTATCAAGTCAGACAACAGCAGTGGCTTACCAAAATAAACCTCAAAAACAAATCATCAAATTTAACTTGAGAAAAGTGAAACATTCATCCTTTTAACTCACCTCAAGTATAGCCTTGTGAAGGACATCTGACACACACAATCTACATGATTCAGAAATTCCTGTAAAGTCAGCTGACGATGGACAGAATGCGTCATTTATCCCCATCCCTTGTAAAATCTTCTTAACACTCACACTGCTACCTTCCTTTAGCTTGAATCTCGGCAAATACAATTTCAACTTAGTTCCCTCAAAGTCGTTTGAAGAAATAATAGATGACAATGTATTACCCTTCGACAGTGATCGTAATAAATTCGGTAGACCATCATTTGCGTCGGGAAGGATGACCAACAAAGCAAACCTACAACAGCAAAAGTATGAATAATAAAGCGTATATTACAGGTGCATAAAATATGTACACTTCGGAAATACGATTAACATGAATATTCATAAACAAAATATGTAAAACTCAATCAAAACTGAATAAATAATGTTGCTTCTAACCATAGTTAACCAAAAACGCGCAAACCAGTTGATATGGCACTCAAACGCATAGCTTGAATAATGTTCATCGAAAATGTTATGCTTGCCAGTGTTACGTAGGATTTCAGCTTGTCGCCATAATTAATTTACCTTTACCCAATGCAACAAATTATGCACAGAAGCAAATGTAAATTTTCAACGAAACTAATGAACACTTCACGACGATAAAATTCATATTACCATACTACAGAAAGAATGGACAAGCGCTTTCATATTTGCTATTTGAACTTCTTGTTTAATTTCTTACTGTAATCAATATTTGTATTGCGTAACACCCTCTTATTATTCGTCCTACTTTCATCCTTGACTGGAAATAATTCTGAAACTGTACTACCGTTTAGTTACATATTCAGGAGTTTGCAGCCTCGATAACTTCGTCAGAAACAGTCTTTTCTTCGCTGCAACCATCTGCTTCTTAACCAACCGACTCAGGGAACCCAATCAAACTTTTAAATGCAACTAACATTCAAGGTAAATTTTATTTCACTCGTAAACGAGACTACTCATAATATCAGCACAATCGTGATACTAACTGAGAAACATAAAAGAATAACCCACTGGTCATATATCGTCCACCTAAACACAATAGCCATAGCTAAGCCAACTTTATTGGGTAGTGTGAAAATCCGACTTAACTAAGCTCCCCATTTGTTCTCGCCACATAGAAAACACATGAAATCTGTAGATCAGCAGGAATATAACAGGATGAATATAGTCAACTCTGCAGTGATAGTTTATAACACTACGGCCTACTGCAGCGGTTGTGTTGTTGTTCTAGTCTTAGACACCGCTGACATTAGTGACTAATTTCCTGTGAAATACATATTTAGTCACTAACTACACAGGCACGATTCGTGTAAATCATAGAATGCGTGAACTTTCAATATTGTCCCAAGTTTTATTGCCAAGATATTAATCAAAAACGGTAACCCTTAAAACTAAAGAAGCATTGACATTTTCACCCACATCACATATTATAAATATCCCTAGCATACCCACTCACAACACTGTGTAAACTTAACAACTTCATCGCTACACATGAAATAAATTATCTCTACTCACATGGGATCCTTGAAGGGTATCTTGACAGCACGTGAGTTCAAATGGGGCAAAGTGATTATGTTGAAAGACGATTCGGTAAACATTAATTTAACTGTCATTTTCGATCCATCCAGTTTATGAAAATCACTGTCATGTGACTTGAACTCCGGAAAAGCTGACTGCCACTCTCCTGATGAAATAAAACCAATATATATATTCACAATAAAAGCAACAATGATAAAACATCAAAGCTTGGAAATATTTAAGTATGGGTAACGGACGTTATCTCTCACCAGTTTAAATGTACCTTTAAAGTATGTAGTAGCTGTTACCACAATGGACGTATCTGCAGCTACAGAACCAAATGGAAGAAGTTCTTCAATCTTTCCTTTGGTTTTTTCGCTCACCCACTGATTAATTCTTTTTCGACAACCCTCGGGATCTGTTTCAAATGGTACCTTACAAAGGAATCGGTTTTATGCGGCGTAGACATACATGTTCAGTTTCCGCACTGTAATATCCTGCCAAATTTTGCTTGAAATTCTCTTTGACACCAGCGTGAACCGTAGTAAATAGTTTGTTCCCAAGGATCATCTCGACACCGACTTCCGCTAGTGAACACCTTTCTAGTAGATCACGGATGCTATCATGGGTCTCAGTATAATTCAAGCTTCCACATAATTGCATCACTTTTTCTATCTCAACTTTCGTATTTTTTTCACATCCAGACAGAACCATGCCGAGGGCAGTATATATATTGAAGGGAGAAAAGAATGTATTCTCCAACTTTTCTGAATATTTTCACTGTTTATTAAACGACAAGCTTACCTGGACATTTTCCCAACATATTACAGTAAAAGTTGTTGGCGAACGATGCAAATGACGTTAATATATTCATCTTTCAAGTACTCACCAGTTGCTAAATACGAATAAAAAATGGAGTGAAGTACAATCCAAATATAGCGAACTGACAAATAGCATAGGAAGATAAAAGGAGAAACTTAAACAAAGTATTATTCCCATTTGTAAGTATACATGCACAATAATTATTGTGCACAGAGAATATATTCTCATATATGAATGGAACAGTAGTGTTATCAAGAGAATGTGTTTAAAATGACAGTCAGTTTCTGTTTTTTATCGTCCTCCAGTGAGTCCCCCTAATTCTACCACATTGAGCTACCGCTTCACAACAGAGGGTCGCAATTAATTGAGACTTCCTTTCAGACCAACAAATGTGTTTTTGATTAGGGTTCCCTCCGCGCTCCAGAAAGGGTTAATTTTGTTTCCCAACTACACAAACATCGAATGAGGATATAATTGCAACTGTCGTCCTCTGCGAACCACAACTGTGCTCTTTCCAGAAATCCCCTAAGAACCATTCGGTTTTCAAAGTTCAAAAGTTGCTTGGGAAGCCATTTTGCTGCGTGGAAGAATAAATTCGTCTACTTGCTAATTTAAATTACGGGTGAATTTGGGTTTCCAGCATTTTTACCGTTATTTCAATGAGTATATATACTCATTTGAATATCGCATACTGTTGGTAACAGCTCTTAACAAGAGAATGCTGTTACAAAATTCCAGATAGGTAACTCAGATTCGTGATGTGGGCTGTCGGTTGAGGAGTTATCCTACAAACTAGTTGGCCGACTACCCGGGAACCGGCCCGTTGGCGTTTTTTCTTCTAGTTCAATCGGAGCACTTGGATGACACTGGCTATCATCGTCCGCGCTGCACCGCTGTATTGTGACTAAGGGTTGGGAATTTTCTTTGACAACGCTTTGTTCTCTCCTTTGGATACAAGGCCGGCTCTCGCAGCAGCGAATGTGTCTGCTGACCTTGTCTTTGGTCTCGTACCAACTCTGGAGAGCAGTAGTCAAGTGGCCTCGGGAGCTGAACTTGATAGCTAACAGATGTGGCGTGTTAATTGACATAAGGTGAGTGGGTTTAGGCAGTCTATAAATAGAGAGACAGCCCCTGAACTTCCCAGAGCCATCTGGGATGCCAACCATCTCCATTGCTGTACATCGTGACAGTGCTTCTCGCAAGCGTTCCCCAGTTACCAGTTCGGGAATGCCGTGAACAACCATGGAGGCAGAAGGAATAAGCTCTGGCGACTCCCTCGCCATCTGTCTTTCCTTCCATGGCCTGTCTGGCCTAACACGTATATCGCAGGCCCTCCCTATAGAAAGGACTTGAGAAGTCAGTGAAACTTTTTCGACATCCTCGGTAGAGCCCAGTGTTACCCTCAGTGGGGATGGTTTGCCTTGAGGAGCAGCAGTGCCCCTATACAATCTGCATAGTTTTACTGGTTGGGTGTCCAGACCCAGTGTGCTACACAAGTTGGACCACTGTTCCTGATCAAACAGGGCCCTGTTTTCAAGCAGACTGCTAATACAGTCTGGTACACTAAAGAGGATTACGCAGTTTGACCTACTAACCGTGGATTTAGGTTCGGTCCTCGCACATTTGTCATTAAGACCGTTTTGTTTCGTCTGGTGCGACTGGATATTATTGTGTCTCAGTGCCATGGCTACTATTGCTGGCAGATGATAAGGGTCTTTTCCCAGCGACAGATACCCTTGGTGCTTCAGCCTCTGTGTCTGGGGCAGTTGTGGCAGGAATTGCAAGTTTAACCGGTGTGGATTTTGGTATCCCCGATTTACGTGCAATTGTGCCGTTTTCTGAGTTGGTGGGAGTAAAACGTTTCACGTTTTTCCCTGATACCTCTATGCCATCTTTAGCTTTCGAGGAACTACACGAGGCTGCATCGGGACGGCAACTTGGGCATCTGTACCAGAACCATGGGCATGGGTTCTTACGCATAAAATCATAATATACTTTTGGTACCCCGGTGTCGCATCTACAAAGTACCCATTGCTTACAAAAGTTACATTCGAAGGCAGAGTCTACTTGTTCGACAACACGAACACCACTATCATAATTTCCTTGACTAGTTTAGTAACATACAGGATACTGCTGATCAAAATAAGAACTTCATTACCTGCAATAGTCACACTCACCAAGTAACCAAGTAAAATTACTGGATTGAATTACCGCGAACTTTGAGTGAGTATATAGGTCATCCTAACAACGACGCGGTAAAGTCAGTCGCTTGGTTCAAGTACTGACGAGTAATTTTTTTCCTTACTTAATCCATATTTTAGTACCAATTTGGAAAATATTTGCAATATATAAAGAAAAATAATCGTATTCTCTGCTGGGTTTCGGGAAATGAAATGAAAATAAGCATTCAGGAAGTAACCTGATCGTTGTATCTTTTTTCATTGAAAGCAAAAATAAGAATTAGAAAATGAAGTGTCCACGCTGTTTTCGAAGCTGAGAAGGCCACCTAAATCGTTAGATAAATAAAAAGGCACTCTATTGACCTACCGATTATCTATAAGACCTAATACATTACATTTGAATTAGCCAAAATGTTAAATGCAGAGTCAATAAGCTACTGAGGTCAGTAAGACGACAGCCACAAAAACACTGTGGAAGAAAATATCATGAAATCACGAGCAGCGTCAAAATACTTAACAACCAATCTCCCGTGAGATGATGAAAGCGAGACACATTTCATGAATAATACTAATCCAGGAATTAATGAAAAAGAAAAAAAGTAGTTCAGTGAAAGGGCTCTTTTGATGAATTCTTAAAAAGTAACAGTTTCACAATGCTACTCTGCTACGAACAAAGCAGATGTAATAAAAAAGAGGGTATTCAACTGACATCTGTGATCAACACTGGTCAAAATTCCTGAATATTATTATTCCTCAGGATTCCATACGGAACACAGGGCTTCAACAACACATCTCTAATGTGTTTTATTTTCTGCCATCCTATCTGGCTGGGTCCACGATTGCACATAGTCTCTCATCTCCTCCTCGCCAAACGATCTCCATGTCACCCTCAAACGACCCACACGTCACTTCTCTTTGGGAATCCACTCCAATTGTGGCCTGGCGCACAATGTCACTTAACAGCCTCCTCAATGTATGCCCAATCCATCTCCATTCTCTCATACGTACTTGTTGGGTAATTGGCTATTGGTTGGTTTATTGCCAGAGTTTCTTGTTACTAAGTCTTTCTCACCAGTGATTTGATCTTCAAAATGAAGCGAGTAAGCTGTTGATAAAAGTCTAGGACTTGTTGGTTATCCGTTTCATGACATGCTCGCCAAGTTTCGAACCCCACTGGAGGAACTGACTGACTTTACATTCGTGTTGAATAGAATCCGAATCTTTTTCTATATGCTGGGTATACAAGAAATCTCGACTGACTTCGGGTTGGTGAAGGCGAATCTTGCCTTTTTGATTCTGGCTGGCTGGCTGTCTGGCTGGATTTGACATCTGCATCCGTTCCACCTACGGTTGAAACAGTGCTTCTTAGGTGAGTAAAGGAAGTAATCTCTGTCAAATCTCTCCGTTGACGGTGGCTGGTGCTGGTTGTTGTTGTTGTTTGGTTATCTTCATCACCTCCATCTTCTCTACGTTCATTTGAACTCCCGTCCTCGCTGACTGCCAGTCTGTTGGTTTATCCTGCAAGTCTTCGAGTTTGTGTGACATTCAACATAAATCATCCACGCGCGAAATGCAGATGTTCTAGAGTCTTCTTATCGATCATTCCGACTCATTCCTGCCTTCTCATTCCCTGTGCACAGTCTGACGCATGATTCAATCTACCACAATTAATAATATCGTTGCTGATAATAGGCAGTCAGCCTTGCCTTAATCCTGTATGCACCTTGAACGCCTCACTGAGTTTTCCGTTGTAGACCACCTGACACGTGCTGTTGTCATAAACCTGTGCGTGCTGTTGGTGGTGTTTCTGAGTGAGTTGCAGGTGACGGTCGATTCAAGAGTCTCTTGAAGTGATCAGCCCATAGTTTTATTTGTTTCTCCACCTTGGTGATCAGGTTCCCTTGAACATCTTTTATTGGTTTCATAATCTGGGTTGATCTCTTCTCAGAAAGAGACCTGCTTATATGATATAATGTTATAAGATCTTTTCAAATTTCGGCCGGCCTTTTCTGCTTCAGTCGCCGGTCAGGGTATTGTAGAATTGTCTTTTGTCTTTCCTAGCACTCCTCCTCACTTCTTTATTCAGTGCAATGTACATTGAGCTTAGCTTCTCCTTCTGTTGTCCATCTTTGCAGGGGGTCATCTTCCCTTTCACAATCCTCCTCTCTTCTGTCAGCTTTCAAGTATCCTTTCAGATCCGTTCCTTGTCTTGTCTCTTCTTTCTTTCCAGAGCAATGGTACACGTTTCCTTGACTATCACCTTCAGAGAGTTCGATTTTACATTCGCGTAGGTGTCCTCAGTGATGTCACGTTGTGTGTTATCTATTCGCCGGTTTTTATATTTTAGCTGTTTGTCACCGTAGAGAGGTACTTGCAAAGTGATAACTTTGTATACTTCTTATTAAAAGCTAAAATCTGAAACATTGCGTATATCTTCTATCCCAATCAAACTCTTTGTTCAGCTCTCGCTCTCAGGTTTGGAAATATAGACACCGGTGTTCCGACTTCGTCAGCTCTGCGACCGTCTCTGGCCGTATTAATTCCCTGATTGCATACTTTGGATATTATAAGAATCTCTCAACCTCCTCTAACGAATATTTAATTACCCGGTGGAGAAAACGCCGCCTAAACATACCCCATGAATTGTATTTCTGCATTATACTGTTAAATTTGTGGAAGTGGGCTTGATTCTATTTGCAATTAACTGTATTCCCTTATAACTTCATCCTAAATAATTGTAATGTACTGTTAAAAAATATCTTTCACCATTTCATTCGTGTGGATGCTTATCCCCTTAGATTCTGGTAGTTTGTCGATAGTTGGGTTTGTAAAAGTATTGGAGTCAGTGAATTTAGAAGCGTATATCAGACACCCGCCTCCTCTTTTGCCCACTCTATCATTCGTGTGAATGTCATAATTATCAGTCATCAGCTTTGTGTCAGGTATATCATTAGTTAGCCAAGTTTCAGTTACCAGGATCAGTGTTGGCCGTTCCATGTATACTAAGATGCGAAGGGAAGTTATCTTGTTAAGGAGAGATCGAGCATTTAAGAGCATAATTTTCAGAAAACCAGGGTTGTTGGGAGGATAGTTGGTGGGTTTTCTTGTTACTATCCCTAACTTCTGGATGCCTATGTTATGTCTGAAGGGATTCTCAGATGAAACAGTGTCAGTGTGTCTACTATTCCCTGAACAAACTGTGCTGCTAGAGGGGTTGTTGTTTGCTGCAGCCGAAAATAATTCTGTTGCATATATTGGTTTCTGGCATCATTACATGGGTATTTGGAATTATTTCTCGGTATTAGGTAGTCTATTTCACTGTTCAGATTGTAATTTACAAGGCCAAAGTACCATGTTTTTGGGTTGTTTTAAGGGTAGTGCATGCTAAGCTTTTCATAGTTGTACATTTTTTGACTCATTTCGTGCGTGTACATAGAAGGACCGTGAGCGAATCTATACTCGCTATGCCGATGGGGGGGGGTTCGAGGATACATTTCCGTTCACATGGTACCCAGTGGTGCCCCGTCTAGTTGCCCGTATGTTCTTATTATCCATTATGCGTCCCGTTCTCAGGTTATATGCATCTATGGAGGGCATATTACAACTCCGGCTATTACGTAAATCGTGAGTCTGATTCTGCCGCTTAGTCAGCTCGCCGCCTGTCTGCTAGAGTATGATCTTGTGTGGATAAAGCTATTTTTGCTGTTAGTTCTCACCTCGTGTAGTCTCCCACAGTTTGTCTATTACTCTTAGTTCGAAAAAGAGCACTTCCACTCATGTGTTCCATCTCCTTTATGGGACCTGCCGCAAAGCGTGCATTGTTCTTTTTTAGGCTTACATGCTGTTTGTTGGGCTTGTCACAAGGGAGGTATATGGGTGCCTGTGGAGAGACTTTGGTTTCAGGGGACTTTTCTCGGCTTTTACGGTGAGACTGTCTTGCTTGGCCCTGGGTGCAGTGTGATCTGCCGATATTTGCAGGTTATCGGAAGTGGGAGCATCTATGTCAACTTCATATGTGGGGTCGGTAGATTTCCTAGGAGTGTTCTAATAGACCTCGAGACTCATTCCAGTGTTACTGTGGTGAGAGCAAGCTGCTAGCCAATTGGTAGACATTGATCTACGCTGATTGGTAGAAATTAATCTAGGCTGATTCAACGACCGATCACAGCTGACCTAGACGTGGACAAATATGATTCGCAGACAAGTGGCTCGCATTTCCGAGAAATATCGAAAACGAGAAAGCAGAAGACTGCGTTTGTTTGCAAACAACCAATCAGAAGACCGCCTTCTTTCTGCGGGCAGAAGCCTATTAATGTACGTAAAATACATATAAATACCTGTTGATTTTCGTAATAAAACTGATCTGTTGCCTGGCCCTTGTCTTCTGTTGTTACATTTGGTGTCGCTGCCTACCGACAAATGGAAAGCCTATGCCCTGCAGTTTTTGATGGAGACATATGGATCTTCGCGCAGGACTTCGAGGCTTCTTCGCAGTTGAGTAGCGTTCAAGATCTGTCAGCGATGAGGCTGCTACTTGGGACGCTGCTGGGAGGTCGGGAGAAAGCAGCATATGGAAGTGTGAGGCGAAATACCTACGAATGTGCGACAGGGTCAGGCAAACAGTTTCCAAAGTGGGAAGGACCATATATGGTCACGTTGAGATGGGGTTACGCAGACACAATCGCAATGGTTAACACCGTTAAACAAGTGGACATCCGCAAGCGCCGAGATTTCAGACAGCAAGACAAAAGAGAAAAGCCCCAAGAACCGAGAACACCGAACCAACCTCAGTCGCAAGTCTTTGACGGGGGGACGAGTGTGGTGAGAGATGGTCGCTAGTCAAATTGGTTGACATTGATCTACGCTGATTGGTAGAAATTAATCTAGGCTGATTCAACGACCGATCACAGCTGACCTAGACGTGGACAAATATGATTCGCAGACAAGTGGCTCGCATTTCCGAGAAATATCGAAAACGAGAAAGCAGAAGACTGCGTTTGTTTGCAAACAACCAATCAGAAGACCGCCTTCTTTCTGCGGGCAGAAGCCTATTAATGTACGTAAAATACATATAAATACCT